CGCCCTCCCGCAGCCACCCGCACGGGGGGCCACAGTTCCTGGCTGGGGGGGGGGCAGCAGGTGCCCCCATGGCAGGGACTGCAGGGACCCCACTCTCCCCCAGCAGGTCGATAGCATTCAGCAGGTCTGTGCGACCACAGCATCCTCTTCCTCACTGACTTTGACCCGGCGGGGGCTCAGCACCGACCCCCACCACGGCACAGCCCGGGGGGGGGCTGCACAGGGATGGGAGACGATGATGCCACCTCCAAGTGCTCCCAGCCCTGCTGCCCCTCCATCCCATGGGGCTCCAGCCCCTCGGGGCTCCCCCTCGTGTCCCCCACCCCAGAGAAGCCGATGGCTTCGGGGCACAGGGCGGGTTCGCACCGCATCCTCGGGGGTCCCGCAGCAAGTGCGTCCCCCCACAAGACTGTCCCAGGGCCACCAGCTGTGGCACCTCCCCGCAGCACATGGGTGCTCTGGGTCCCCCATCCCCATCTGTCCTCTCTCTCACCCTGCCGGGGTGGGACGCTGCCCCCGTACCTCTTGCCCAGGCTGCAGCTCGGGGCAGGTGGCCATGGCAGAGCCGGTGTCAATGGTGGCCGGGAAAGGATGCCAAGAGCGGCACCAGCTGCGCCGAGGGATGGGGAGCAGCATTAGCATAGCTCCACCCTGAGCAGGCACCGTGGCCGGGGTGCTCACGGCACCCAGCAGCCAGGCACGGCCCCTACGGGTGCTGAGGGGCAGGACCAGCGCTGGAGGGGGACACAGGAGGGGAGAGCCAAGCCCAGCTCCTGCCCGGTTGTCGAGATGTGAAGGACCAGCAAAGCACTCTTGGCCAAAGAGTTGATGAGGCAGGTCCTGGGGGCTGCATGACCACCACCACCACCAGCCCCCCTGGGATGAGCACATGGCTTGGATACAGCCCAGGAGGGTGTTCAGCCCTGGCAAACACCTCCATCCCAGGACAAAGACCTCTCCTGTACAAAGACAAAGACCTCCTCCGTCCTGGGACACTCCAGATCCTCTCCAACTCCCCACCCTGGAGCGCCCCACAGCCTCCCTAGCAGGGCACCCCAGCCTCTTTGAGGGGAGAACCCCAGTTTTCCACGAAAGACTGTTTGAAAACTCAACACTTTTGCTCCCACCAATGCAAGTTTCCCTGCACTGCTCCGCGTTGCTGCTCCAGCTGGGCCTGATGGCTCTGGCTGGGAAGGACCCAACCCCGGGCAGGGAGAAGCAGGGACGATGCCCACCACAGGGATCCCTGGCAGAAGCTCCAGCGGTCCTGTCTCAGCTTCCCTGGCTCATCCTTGGGGAGGCGAAGGGTTAACACCGCCCCAGGAGGAGCCATGGGTGGCAGTGAGGGCACCTGAGCTGTCACTGCCCTGGTCACCAGGGACGGTGATTCACCTTGATGCGTGTCAAGATGCATCAGAGCAGCTCAGGCGCGAAGCCGGGGTCGCTCGGCCGCGGAAGGGCCGCGTTCACCAGGAAAGCGCGAAAAAGCTCCAAAGCATCAGCTGGGGCCAGGACAGGCGTAACGAACCATGAGACTGCGGACGCAGAGAGGGGCCTGGATGCTTCTGTGCCGGTCCCCAGCACCCCTGGGTCCCAGCCACGCTCCTAACCCCAGTGCTGGATCTCCCCCACCTCCAGCTTTGAGGCCACCCAATGCCGGTGGCGGAGACCCCACCATCCCCACCTGTTCAACCCCGGTCCCAGGGGAGCAGTGCCACCATCCCTGCCTGACACCGTAGCTCCCTGATGGCTTTTCAGCACGTTTACCACCCACCCCACCCCCAAATCATGCTCTGCACCCTAACAGTGATGCCCCTGGCTCCCTCAAACCCCCCTTGCTCCCCAAACCCCCCACGCCTGGTGTAGCAAAGTTGTTCCCCAACACCCCCCACTTTCCAACTGTCCCACCCCACGCTCCCGGCAAGAGCGGGGATTTACGGCAGCGAGAGCCTGGGGCAGCGCCGGTGCCCCCGTAAGCGGATTACACGCCCGGCTGCGCGCGAGCCGGCACTCGGCGCCGAGGCTGTCACCGGCCCAGCAGCTCCAGCGAGGTGGCACTGGCCCCCGCCTGTCACACCGAATCACACCTTCTCCACACGGTGACAACCCAAGGGCCGTGGCAGAGCGGGGCACGGGGGCAGTGGGCAAAGCCTGAGCTGGGAAAATCCCTGGCTCGCCCGTTAGCGTGTCTCTGCCTGGCACCACATTCCCACGGGATGTGTTTTCCCAGCCTCTTTCTGCCGGGAAAGGGAGGGAATGTCCTAGTGAGGTGCTGTCACCGCAGCCGGGCCGGCCGAGGCATCCCCAGCCCACCCAAAGGTGACATCCAGATGTGCCCACCCACGGCACGGCACACACCGCTCCCCTGCGGCATGACAGCTGAGCACCCCCTGTCCCAAAGGCGTGAGCTCCACATGGGACAAAGACACAGTGGCCCCCGCCAAAGCCCAGCTCTGCCAGGACCAACGTGGGCTGCGCCTGCTCCGACCTGCCTCCAGATGTGCGGGATGCTCCCGACGGCAC